CGCGCCGCCCCTCCTGTCTGTGCCCCGTGTACGCGCAGACCCGAGCGTGCGTGTCCCGTGTATGCGTAGACCCGAGCGTGCGTGCCCCGTGTACGCAGACCTGAGCGTGCGTGCCCTGTGTACGCGTAGACCCGAGCGTGCGTGCCCCGTGTACGCAGACCTGAGCGTGCGTGCCCCGTGTACACAGACCTGAGCGTATGTGCCCCGTGCACGCAGACCTGAGCGTGTGTGCCCCGTGCGCGCAGAGACCTGAGTGTGTGTGCCCCGTGTACGCAGACCTGAGCGTGCATGCCCCGTGCACCCACAACCTGAGCATGCATGCCCCACCTGAGTGTGTGTGCCCCGTGTATGCAGACCTGCGCGTGCAAGCCCCGTGCGCGCAGAGACCTGAGTGTGCATGCCCGTGTATGCAGACCTGAGCGTGCATGCCCCGTGCACGCAGAGACCTGAGCGTGCATGCCCCGTGCGCGCAGAGACCTGAGCGTGCATGCCCCGTGCGCGCAGAGACCTGAGCGTGCATGCCCCGTGCGCGCAGAGACCTGAGCGTGCATGCCCCGTGCACACAGAGACCTGAGCGTGCATGCCCCGTGCGCGCAGAGACCTGAGCGTGCATGCCCCGTGTGCTCAGAGACCTGAGTGTGCATGCCCCGTACACACAGAGATGCCAGGATTGGCTTCAGCACCAGAGAGCACTGCGCCACTGCTGCACCACTGTGACTGGCCCCGCATGTTTCTATATTTCAGAATAAATCATGTAAAAACAAAGAAAAAGACCCTTATGGGACACAGAAAGGAATGACTATCTGTTGATGATAATGTGCATAGTACCCTCAACTGGACCAGTGTGAAGTGTACTGGATAAATTCACTTTTCAAGCTACGTGAGGTATAGTGGTTGAATGTATAAAATAAAGTAAAAAAAGTAAAAACAAAGAACAAAAAATCTAAAAAACCATTTTGTTCACATTGGAAAAAAAAATCTAAACCAGAAAATCCTGACTTGGAATCCACAGACCCAATCCGAGAATTGCTTTGGCGGGTGGGGGAGTGGTGGTCTCTAGTCTGTGAAACCATAAACAAAATTATATATTTATATACATGTGCAATATTATGAGGCACAGGTCTAAGCCTTTCACTGGATTCTCATATAGAAGTGTTTTTTTAACTGCCAGAGGCATATGCACAAGACAGAGACAGACAGAGAGACAGAGAGAGAGAGAGAGAGAGAGAAATCAGCTCCCCTCCAATAGGCACAGTAATGCCATAACCATTCTATCTCCATTTCTTCGTCCTGCCAGGATTTGGAGTACGTACATGCATATGCCTGGCATGGTTTTTGAACCACTGGGGCCAGAATTGGAGCCTTAGCCAGCTCTGCGAGTTCCCACCCCTTACACACAGGGCTTAATCACTGTGTTACAGGGTTGGCCTTTTCTCTATCTCTGTAGAAGAGGTCTGGGGTGCCAAAAGTGTTAAGAATCACTAAGCTATAAACTGTGTATATGGTCAGAAAACTTTATTGTGATCACTTCCTCCTAGGCATTAAGGTTGATACTATTTATATTACTGAAGACATCAGTCTCTCAACAAAGTCTATGTGCTTCTAATTGTGGCCTTAAGAGATACTAAAAAGTTCAAGGTGAAAAAAATGTGCAGATGTGGGACAAAAACAGTCAGCAGAAATAACTGTTGTGTAACAAAAATACTTCTTGCTTCCCAGCATGAGTTTTCTGCTGAGTAATTTGATTGCTCATTGATTAATTCATCACGTTTCACATTATGTAGACAGACAAAGCTTCATTTTTGGATGTCTGGAGTCCATGTGCTCAAACCACTGCATAATGCAGATGAGGTGAAGAAGAATGAACCATAATGTAACTACAGAGACTTGAGACTCCAAGAGGATAATGAAAAAGAATGAAAATGATTAAAGGGGGAAAAAATCAAAACTGGAGAAGGTTGTGTTAAGTTCTTCCATCAAAACACATTCATCTTGTTAGTAGGAAGACGATTCTGTTAAGTGTTCTTCCTATAGATGAGTACGGGAACCACTTCAGACCACCCATCTTAGGACTACACCACGTTTCACATCCCATGCTACTCACGTTTCTGATCTTTCTAAACCTTACAACCTTCTGGAACTAAAACAAAGTAATCGGATCACGTACTGTTTCTCGGTGTCAAAGCTCTCTTTATCTTATCATTTTACATACCTATTAAACATTTCTGGGCCAGCAGGTGGCACGGTGACTTAGGCTGCCATGTCCCACAAGGCAGACTGTGTGGTTCCAGTCCGAGATTCACTGGCTTAAAACTCATGCTGGGCACAGGTGTGTGCATACCCAAAATCCCAAGAGGAGAATGGAGGAGAAAGGAATGCAGTATGGCCATCCCCCTGGGGGGTGGTGGTGGTGTGATTGCTCACTTTCTCTGTCTCTCTCTCCAGCAAGTGCATGCATCCTACGGCAAAAACAAAAAAATCTTAAAATATTGAATAATGGTATCTTTCACTATATCTCTAAATCCCTCATCCAGTCCTTTCTATGAGAAAAAAGAAACTGTGGATAAAAATATACCCCAAACTAGGATTACCTCAGCCTCTTTCCTTGTTTTCTCAGTAGTCGGTGACCCACAAAACAGAGTAGGGCATAACAAAACTGCTGTTGGTTTCTGATTAAACAGTATGTTATGAACCCAGGGAAACTCAAGGGAGGAGTGATTTTTGAGACCCCTTTCAGAATACATTTTGGTCATATGCTTGTCACATGTGCAATCTCTCCATTTATAGACCTATCAGAGGGTCTTCAAAAACTCCATGAAAAATGATGGAGTTCAAACATTCCTGCACCAAGATAAACTCATACTTTGATTCCATCTTTCTACAGGCTTTTGAAATACCCCTATATAAGCATGCTTTGTACAAATCACTTTGTATTTCAATACTTGAAGTAAACTCTCACTCTCCTATAAAACAGCATGCATGAACAAGACCAGTCCATCAGTGGGTCATACCTGGGTCAGAATCACTGTCCTGGGACAGAAGGAAGGGAGATACGTCAGAGACAAAGACACGCAGCAGGGAGCTTCTAAAACCACCGGCGGACTGGAGGACTGCTCCCGGCATGTGTTAGGGAAAAGACCCCAGAATCGCTGGGGAAAGTACCCCGGAATCGCTCTGCGAACTGTGTGAAAACCCACTGATGCTCCAGTTTGACACTAGCTGATTCAGCATGGGCTATTTGGAAGTCATGGTGTGATAAACTGTGTGTGACACAGGTTTTACACAAACATGAACTGGAATAAATGATACGAAAAAAACTTTGACCCTCAAGTCAATCAACTTAATAATGATACCAGTCCTTGTTTAAGCATAAGTTAATTTGGAATATCCACTCAGAGGGGGAAGTTTAAAAAGTTTTATTGAACCAGTACCTCAATATGATTCATTGCTTTCTGCCACACAGACTGCTTCTCCTCTGCACTGTGTCCAGGAATGGATAAGATGTTGTGAATGTAATTGAAGACCTCCTCCTAAAAAGCACAAGATGATACAATTATTCACTCATTCACTCCAGCGATAGTCACCACCTACTATCCACACGAGTCTTGGTAAACCAATTATGTGGAGAAGGAAAACCACTTAGAGATAGATAGCTGATGGAAACTGACACTAAAGATAAACAATAATGACATTTAGGGGAAAATCTTAGCCATTATAAACCTGTTCCAATTAATTTTGGTCTCAATTTATTAGCCTTGTAAGACCTCATGAGGAACATTTTGTAATTCCACCTTGAATCAGACTTTCTTTTTTGGTGGAGAGGTTTTTCTTTGCTAGAGGGAGTATGCACTCGCCAGAAAGACAGAGAGATAGAAAGTGAGAAATCACGCCACAATCTCTTTTCCTCCATTCTCCCCTAGGGATCTTGGGCACGCACGCACACGCACCCAGTGTGAGTTTAAGCCACCGGGTCCGGGACTCGAACCACAGTCGACTACATGGGAGTCCAGCAAACATAGCCATTACACTAACTGCTGGTCCCACTGAATCAGACTTTTTCTTGTCTATTATTCTCCATCTATAATGATTTCCTTTCATATACATGATCTATGCTTAGTTTCTCCAACACATGCATGTCCCCCACCTCAAGGCCTTCGCTGGTACTGTTACCTGGCCGAGGACACGCTTCCCTGGGCTGGCTTCCCAGTTTACGGGAATCTCTGAGACCCCCTTCCTGGCTGCTCCAAGTCCGCGCCCCATCATCCATGACAGGTGCACGTGTTCTCCCTCCCTAGCACTTACTACAAAGCCAAGTCCCTCACTCGGTTGTCTGGCTCACTGTCAGTCCCCATCACTAGGTTGTGAGTTACTGCAGGAACTCTATCTGGTTTAATGATCAATGTAGACTGGCTCGTATGAGGCACTCAACAAAAACCTGATGAATAAAGAAGATCTTGGCTCAGTAAATACAGGTCTAAATATTTCTAATCAATAGTCATTTCCACTCAATGGGGGCAGGGCTGAGTAAGAAAAACAGGTAAAACAGGCTTTTAACTCACCTCCCTCAGTGGGTCACGTAAGTAGCAATCAATAATCTTGTCATATTGGTGTTCTCGTTCATACATAAATTCACAAATTTGATAGCTGGAATGTAAAAGGAAAAACTTCAGGGTACCGAACACGCTCGTGGCTATTAGCTTACTGTCTTGAGAAGTTTGCTCGGGCATATCTGAGGCTAGTCTCAAGGTCGGTATTAAGAAAAATGTTAAAAATCACAGTAGATGTGATTTCTGCTGTTAAATAAAGTTATATTAAGTATCTAACAAATGAGTAACTGCCATTTCTCTAAGTACAGGTTAAACATGCTTGCAAGTACCATGTTTACTAAAAATGTCAAAGTTGGGTAAAGAAATGTTCAAGCAACCATGTGTCCATGAGAAATGGTCAATGTGTTAGATACCAGCTCATAATCTGTAGACATTTTATATAGTTTCCTTGTTCAGAATTAAATGTATTGAATAATACATTCATCAAACTAGATAAGAAGTGGTGGAATCATACTGTATTTCATTTGCTGTGTCACATCCTGCATTCTTTCTAATGTAAGTCAAAAATCTGATACACCATGAAAATATTAAGTATAAAAATAAATGAAATGTGGTAAGACTACTGTTTTGCTTTCAGATTAAAACAAGTATACAAACATTTCAAATTTATTGCTTGTCAATTTCTACAAATTTTACTTATCTCTAGAAATTTATTTGAAAAGCAAAAACTTTCCTTGAGGATTTTATTGCTTAATTTAAAAAAGTAACACAGTGTATTAATAAACTGGGCTTCACTGTTAGAGAAATACAATGTAATCCCTTTATGCAAAACTAATAATACATAGCTTTGAAACAACTTACAACTCAGCTTTTTCTGCCATACGGATAAGCCGACTCTCTTCAAACTGAACAATGCCTCCAGCCTGCAGTAATTCTAAAAGGACCTGGGTATTTAAAATAAATGAGTAAAAATGCTTTGGAATTTACTTGTATTTACTAGTTCTTAAGACTCTAGCCATGCATAGCATAACTTTGACATTTTTCCTCTTGTATTCTTACTTGATTTATTTTAGTTTACTTTCACATATGCAAGAAGTTAGACAATATAATCAACATTAGGCTATAATGTCATATGGTCTAATGTGGTATAATCATAAAATTATATAATCAACAGGTTGATAATACTGTGTTGATCTTGTAAAAAGATATACAGCCCCACAACACAGTGATTAAGGGAGCCAGATCCCACGAAGCCAACCATGGTCTGAATCCTGGCCCTGATGGCTTCCAGAACACACAGGAACAAGGGCATGTGTGTGCCCACAATCCTGATGGGAGGAAGGACACTCGGAGGAAAATGAACTGCACCGTGCGGAGGGGGGTGCTTTCTTTCTTTCTTTTTCTCTCCCTCTAGTGAGTGTACGTGTCCTTTGACAACAACAAAAAAAATTAGTGGAAAATAAGATAACTGGTCCTGCTTTTCAAACACAGAAGGAATACCACAGTGTTGTACACAAAGCCTTAGGAGAATACTGAACTGACCTTCCACTAAGCGAAAAATGTCTGTATATATCGTTTCAAGAAGTGAGTTTTTGTCTGATCCTTTTATGGTTCTTTAAAAATCTGTCCACAGGTCATCTCTGTGTTTACACATTAATTTAAAAAAATTGAACAATAGTGTTTTTCATAGCAGCGTTATTCACAATAGCCAAAAGGTGGGAAAAATCCAAATATGCATCAATGAATGAGTGGATAAATAACACACACACATGCACACACATACACACACATACTTACACACACACTTACACACTTACACACACACATGCACACATACACAGAGGAATATTTTCAGCCTTAAAAAGGAAGGGAATTCCAATACATGCTACAACATGTATGAACCTTAAAGATATTATGTATGTTAAATAGGCCAAATACAAAAAGATGAACTTTATCAGCTGGCCAATAGCTCGGAATCACTGCCCTGTTACACAGAAGGGCACAGATCAGAGCTGACGCCTGAGTGCAGAAATGTTTTGAAAAGTCCCCTGGCTGGCGGGAGGAAAGGTGCCCCACAACGTGTAGGCTGCACTCGTACGAGGTATCTAGAGCAGTCAAAGTTGTAGACAGAAGATAGAAAGGGGGTCCCTGGGGCTGGGGGAGCAAAGAATAGGGAGTCATCATGTAACGGGTCTAGCGGCTCAGTTTGAGAAGATGATTGACAGCAATTCCTCTGAACTGAACTGCATACTCAGAAACGGCTGAAATGGGAAATTTCATGTTATATATATTTATCACAGTAAAAAATATTGGGGCTCATATAGTTAATTTTTACCACACTAAGTAGATGAATAAAAAAGGTGACTAGGAGGCCAGTCAGTGGCGGGGTGGTTAAGGTGCTAGGACCCAAATGGCCGATTGTGCATTTGAGTCCTGGACTCTGTGGCTTGAAAAACATACCAAGTACACGCGCATCCATGTGCAAAACTGAGCGAAGAACAGATGAGAACGGGTGATGGCATGGCCATCCGCTTGGTGGTGGGGCGGTGGGGGCTTTCTCTCTCTCTCTCTCTCTGGCAAGTGCACATGCCCTATAGCAAATTAGAGAACAACAACAACAAAAGTGACCAGGATTTTGAACTGGAATCATTGATATTCTAAAGTATTTTAAAAATTAATTACAAAATTACAATAGTTAAGTTACTTAAGTCAGGATCCAGAGTAACATGATCCTTCTCAGAACTCCAGATCATTTCACAAATTATTCTTTGAACAAAAATAAACTGATTATTTTCAAGTTGAGAAAAGAAAACGTGTCCAAATTGTACATTTCAGATTCCAAATTTAATCTATGTTGAGCACTATAATATAATATTCTTACATAGAATAAATAAGGAGTGAATCTCTCTGCTATAAGCCTCAATTCTAAATAACATAATACAAATGAGGGACCAGCAGATGGCATAATGGTTACATCGCCTGACTCCCATGCAGTAGGCAATGGTTCGAGTCCTGGACCCAGCGACTTAAAACTCATGCCAGGCGTGTGTGCGTGCGTGCCCAAGATCCTGAGAGGAGAATGGAGGAGAAGGGATTGTGGTGTGGCCACCACCACCACCACCCCGGGGGGGGATGATTTCTCGCTTTCTGTCTCTGTTTCTCTTTGTCTCGGTGAGTGCACAAGCTCTATAGCAAAAATTTCTCTCTCTCTCAAAAAAAAAAAATGCTTTTGCTGGAGCTAGTCTTACCAACTCATTAGAGTTGATTGTTCATTTTCAGGAATTTAAAATAATGATTAAAAAGTAAATGATATAAACCTACCATTTAAAAAATTAAAGACAAAGGTAATTAATACTCAGAACTCACCACTTCCTAATTATGTCACTACACTTACTACGAGCTATGCTCCTGAGTTACTTACACCTGGTGTAAGTGTGTGCTGGAAATACCACATCAGGGTGTGCGGCTGTCTCTCTTCCCAGCGCCCCCTTCAGGGACATCATGTTGGTAGGTTAAATCAGCCATGGTGGAAGTACTTCCTCCATGGAAATTGGCAAACGCTATATGAGTCAACAAAATGCTGTAAATGTTACATTTTTAAAGAGTTGTAAAAAATACATGTATATATGAGACACATACCATATGTGACTCAGAAAGCCTAAAATATGCATTCTCTGGACTTCTACAGAGAAAAATTGCCAATTCCTAGTTAAGGAAGTGATGGGAAAATTAATAAGGCAATTAAACTTGAGTGTGCATGTGTGTAATCAAAATATTATCTGATTCAGTAAAGAGGCCGCTTCACTGACGTATGAGCAGTATGTTTTCGTTGTTCTAATTTCATCTTATTCACTTACATAAATAGCAGCCATCATTCATATCAGAACTATATTTGAGGAGCCAGTTGTTAAATAATTTCTTGGTATACCCTGGGAAAATACTCAAAAATCCTCGGAAACCAATTTTGATATGTAGCACATGGTAGGAGGGAAAACGGCTGGAATCGAAGGAAAGGAGTTTGGTTTTAATTTTAACTGTGTCCCTGACAGCTCACTTCCTCAATTTTCTGCATTTCTAAATTGAAGAGGTGGGAAATAACTAGATAATCCAAAAGGAGATACCCAGGAACATTCTATGAATATACTGCGGTTACCTTTTAAGGTCTAGCTAGCTTTTACCAGTTAGATTCAGTTTTTCTTTCTATTTTTAATTTGTCACAGGGTAAATGTTCTCTCCAGAGAGAGAGAGAGAGAGAGAGAGATAAAGGGAAAGAGAGAAAGGACAGGGAGAAAGCCCCCCTGCTCCTGATGGGATCATCCACAACCTTTCTCTCCCAGTTAGGACTCGGGGCACGCACATATAAGTGCCCAACATGTTTCTCAAGCCGCCAGGTCCAGGACTCGAACCTCAAGGTCAGCCTTTGAGATCCAGCTGCCATCACCACACCACAGGTTGGCCCTTGGCTTTACTTTCTATTTAATTTGGTTATTTGTAAGAAAAGTTCTTATCATTTGGGGCCAGCAGGTGGAGTGGTGGTTAAGGTGCTGAACTTCCACGTGGCCAACTGCGGTTCGAGTCCCAGACCTGGTGGCTTGAAATTCACAGTGGGTTCGTGTGCGTGCATGCCCAAAATCTTGAGATGAAAATGGAGGAGAAGGGATTGCACCATGGCCATCTCCTCTGGGAGGTGACTTCCCAGTTTCCCTTTCCCTGTCTCTATTTCTGTCTCTCTCTGGAGAATGCAGGCACTTTATGGTAAAAATCTTAAAAAAAAAACAAAACCAAAAACAAAACAAACAAACAAAAAACCTCTTACTATTTTATATAGATACATCATGCATACCATGACCCTAACTTACAGAGAAACGAGAGCTAAATGAGAGGTCCACATGATGGGACCAGCACCTTAACCACCATGCCAGGTGCCAATTCCTACAGTAGGTAAGTTTTTAAAGAATCCTATCCCTGGAACTCTCAAAAAAAAAAAGGCACGAATAGACAGTGATGGTAATCAAACAGTACTATCTCACAACGACGAGGGAAGGACAGGTTGATTCCCGTCTCCGGAATGGTCACTCTAATGCAGTGGGGTTCTACGTGACACCCCAACGTTGAGCATGTCAGCACTCAGGGTCCTGTAGCCTTTCTGGTTCAGGCCCACAGCAGCTGATAGTGGTTACCAGATGAATGACACTGATGAAATGCCAAGTATTACAGGTGCTAACTGTTGCTATGAAATACAGAAGGATGAAGTATTCTCTTTGATGTCAATCTGGATGCAAGACAGGCCCTGCACCTGGGAATTTAGGTCGATATGACCTCCTTATACATGCACCTCTAACAGCTGTCCACGTTATTTTCTGGTTGCCACTCTCTTTAGCTTAGTATTAGGGTCCAACACGATTTATTTCCCTCTTAAGTCAAGTGAGGTCTAGCACAGAGGAGTTCTTGCTGGGTTACTTTCCCCCCATCCTTTAGTAAAGACTTTTAGTAGGGACCAGCTGTGATAGGAGTGCTGCTACTCTGCAGGCTAAGGCCACCGGGAGGCCTGGGTTCGATTCTCCACCCATCCTAAAAGCTGGGGACAGTGGCATGCAGCTGTGGTCCCAGCTCCTCAGGAGGCTGAGGCAGGAGAACTATGAGTTCATGAGACCCTATCTGAAAGAAAGAAAGAGGGAGAAGGAGAAGTAGCCCATACCTGCTGTCTTTCAGAGTGCCGTGAGTCGTCATCGGGACTACAGAGGAACTCGAGGACCTGGCCCCAAAAAAACGCAGCTTTAAAATTGGTTACCAGCACACATATCACAACGCTGTCATAAAGAGAACAACGAAAACTGTTCTTTCAGCGTCACCGATTCACTCACACTCAGCCCTGACAAACGCCAGAGCTGCATGGTACCCTTCTAACTGACGGCCCGGCAGGTGAGACCCCAGGCTTCCTTACCTCACAACCGAGTATGTGCCTTATATGAACTGCTCTCTACTCTTCAGAAATGCAACTAAAGAGTGGTACCATCTGCGTATCTGAACTTTAAATCCCTGGTGTCACGGACCAAGCAAAGCATGGACTTAGGAGCCAGGCCCCTTGAATTTAAATCCTAACCTTATGGACACGCACTAACTTTTTATTGCTAGTGATGATACTTACAAAGGTCTGAGCGTGGAGGAGTTACTCACTTGCGCTAGGCTTTAGTTTCCTCATCACTGAAATGGCGACAACCATACCTGTATGAGAGCTGCTGGAGACAGTGAACCTAAACACGAAAGGTTTTAGCACGATGCCTGTCTCTACAAAGTGCTCAGTAAATGCCAGTCTTTATTAACTACTTTCTCTGGGGTGCGGGGGGAAAGTGCTTTACTAACTGTGGATTCATAGGAGTTATTTAACTGGGATTAGAAGACACCTTCAGAATCAAAGTCATTTATAAGTAAATTCAGATTTTCCAAAAGGAATTTCTTCGCTAGATGACTGTCATCGTAGTTTTTCTATCGGAAGATGGTGTTATTTTTAAACTGGGAAATACTTGAGCAAAGAATTCTAGGCAGTTTGGAGCAAGAGAACAATTAAGAGAGGAGAAACTTTCTAAACCAGTATCCACGAACCACACTTGCACAATACCAGGCTAAATCATACTGCCCAGCACACGCCACGTGTGTTCCACACACACAAGGACACGCTCCGAATTTAGATCCCAAACCCGAACAACTTCGGAGCCGATACTGTGTCACATTTATAGACAGGGCAATCCAGTGAACTTCTCTGTGAACAGTAAACAGGAAAACAATTGCAGTTCTCACTGTTAGAGACACCTACCTGATCAAAGAGCGTTCTGTTTACGAACAAGGTATTATCAGGCTTTGCAAGCTGCCGAGCGAGAAACGTGAAGAGACAGCCCACTTGTGAGGGAGTGAAATCTGAATTCTCCACCATGACCTGGTGAGGGAGAGAGACCATTCGCTCAGTACACCATCTGGTCTGACGCAAAAACATGCGCAATTAGGAGGGGGCTCATTACTGAAGACTGGAGAAAAGATTCTTTTATTGACTGTAACAATTGAGCTCAGTACCATTAAGAGAACGAGCATGTGGACCTGCACACGCTGAAAGGAAAGCATCTGAATGATTTCTGGCATATGTAGCATTGCTTGGATGAGAACTGAATTTTAACAGAGGTGGATAGAGGATTTCAAAAACATATTAATCATGTTTCCCTCTGGAATTTTTAGGGAATTCTACTAAAATTAAATTTAAATGAAATTTAAATAACCTTACTAAAAATTCTGTCCATCAGTAGGGGAAAAAGGGAGCTGCTTTGGGGTTTAAAAGCACGATGCCCTGAGAATGAGCGTATTCCAGAAAAGAACCAGGCCCTGCATACATTAATGAAGTGAATGACTTCTGCTGTATCTACAAGGAACTCCTCGCACAAATGCTTTTGTGTCACAGGCTTTTTACAATCACGCAGTTAGCAATCGCAGTCAGACCCTGCTCTAACTCAGCTCTCATCTGCTGAGTAGCCCCTGTGTGTGAAATGCTATGGCCGGTGCTGTGAGGGGAATTCGGGACTGGAAAGAAAGGAGAGGCAGGTAAACAAACCCTCGATAAAAGGCATAATATGATCAATGCTACAAAAAGGCACACGCGACTGTGGTGACACGGTGGAGAAAACAGAGTCCTGCCGATTCAAGAGGGAATTGGAAAACTGAGCAATCGAGCTGTTAAGCGATGTTTCAAAGGCTGTGCAAGACCCTCGGCAGGGGAAACGTCAGCCCGGAGAGCAAATCTGGCGGAGGGAAGAGTGTGAGGAAAAGCACAAAGGAAAACACGACTTCTTAGGGGGAGCATAAGTTTCATCAGAAATTCCTAAGAGCGTGCATGAGGAGGAAGAGAAAGCAACCTGAAACAGACTAGGCTGCAACTGTCCTCCTAAAGAATCTTGAGTTTACCCCAGAAAACTGGGGGTTCCTAAAGGGGTTCCACGAGGAGAGTTGGTCACGTTAGTACTGTGCTTGGGAAGAGCGCCCTGTCAGCAGAGTACGGAGAAATAACAGGGAACGGACGCTTGGGGAGGGAGACCAAGACGCACGTGACCACAGGGCTAAGAGCGACAAAGGGGCTTTGGACTAGGGCAGCGATCACGAAAACGGGAGGAAGAACAGGGGCCAAAGACGCTGCAGAGGAGAAAGGTTAAGGACTCCTGTGCATGGGGACAGCACGGTTAAGGGAGCAAGAGACGGTGGCAGGTTTTAAGCCTGATCGACGGGTGGGCCAATGCTGGCATTAACAAAGATCACAGAGTGGAAGGGAGGAGCGTGTCTGAGGCTAGCTAAGTCCATGAGGGAACTACCTCGAATGGGTCTAGCACCATGGCACAGTATGAAAAGTCCCGTGTTCTCGTCGTCCATCCTGTTTACGAAGGTGTATAAGGACCAGCAGGTGGTGTAATGGTTACATTGCTGGACGCCCACAGAGTCGCCACAGTTTGAGCCCCCGACCCAGAGGCTTAAAACTCATATCAGGTACGTGTGCGTGCATGCCCAAAACCCTGAGAGGAGAATGGAAGAGGAGGGATTGCGGTGTGGCCATTCTTGGGGGGGTGGGGTGGTGGTGATATCTCACTCTCTGTCTATCTCTCCAGTGAGTGCATGCACCCTATAGCAAAAATCTCTCTTAATAAAAAAGGAGTCTATGTTACCTGTTATAAAGTATACCTTTGGGGCCTAGCTTTCGATCTACCTGTTCATAGTTTGCTAGCTGTACAACAGTTCCGTCATCAATAGTTTTGTGTTCCATGGCTTTAGTTACCCAGTCAACTGCAGTTGAAAAATATTAAATGGAAACTTCTAGAAATAAACAATTCATGAGTTTTAAATGTGGGGCCAGGCTGCGTTGTGTGATGAAGGTTCCCATGTCCCCCTCTGCCCTGCCTGTGGCATGAGTCATGTCCCTTTGTCCAGTGCATCATGCTGCACCGAGCGCACATCTGTCACTCCCTTATCTGTCTCAGTTAGCAGAGCAGTAACCAGAAGGGGTGCGGCCACGGTGGGGCACAGTAGGGTCCTGGTCTGTGATGCTGGAGGTTCCTGGGAAGGCTGTGCTCACCCTGGGTGTGCATCCGGGGTCCTGCAGGCAGCAGAGAGGGCTCAGCACAGAGCCCCTACCAAGGGTGGCGACCTGCGGGCTCCAAGCCCCTTCTCTCAGCCGTGAGGAAATACGTAAGTAATCTTTGAAAACAGTATAAATAGGGTCAGTACTGGCCGTTGAAGGCATCTGCAGGGGTCTGGGAATGTACTCCCCAGGGTGTGTTTCTTTCATCTTCCAGGTTTCAGTCTAAAAACCACCACGTGTCCAACAGCAGTCATTACCAGAGTATGGGGACGCTGAAACTAAAGCAAGAACAAACTTCATAATTAGGGTGAAGCTTGGGTGGAAGAATGGGGAAATCATTGATGCCCTATAAAAAAGTGTATTGCGGCCAGCAGGTGGCGTAGTGGTTAAGACGCGGGACTCCCACATGGCTGACCACAGTGTGAGTCCCAGACCCGGCGGCCTGCAAATCATGGTGGGGGTGTATGCATGCGTGCGTGTGTGCCAAAATCCTGAGAGACCAAGGGATTGTGCTGTGGCCATCCCCCCCGGGCTTGATTCTCACTTTCCTTCTTTGTCTCTCTGGCAAGCATACCTACCCTGTGGTAAAAACCTAAAAAAGGGGGACCAGCAGTCAGCATAATAGCTATGTCACTGGACTCTCATGTAGTCTACTGCAGTTTGCTTCCCAGACCCGGTGGCTTAAAACTCATGCCAGGCGCGTGTGTGTGCGTGCGTGCCCAAGATCCTGAGAGGAGAATGGAGGAGAAGGGATTGTGGTGTGGTCATCCCCCCTGGGAGGTGATTTCTCGCTTTCTGTCTCTCTCTTGTCTGTCTGGCGAGCGCACGCGCCCTATCGCAAAAACCTCTCAAAAAAAAAAAAAAAAAAAAACCTATAAAAGGTAAAATTAAAAGTGCCCTAAGGCAATGTCCCAAAGAAATCAGCAGTTTACAAATGGGTAACTTGTTTTAAGAACAGGTGAGGCAATGCTGAAGATGATACCTGTGGTAGCAGACCGTCCATATCAGTTTGTGAGGGAAAATTCATCTTGTTCTTGCCTAACTGAAGAGGACTGACAACAACAGAAACCACCGCCGACATCTCAGCTGGTTCTGTTACACAGTTCTGACTGAAAAACTGAAGTTGCACAAACTTTCTGCTCAATGGTGCCAAGACGGTTACACCCAGATCAGATGCAGGTAAGCGTAGATGTTTCAGTGGGAACCTCAAGTGGGATCAAAACCCTGAAGTGCATCTTTGAATAACTGTAACAGGAGATGAGACGGCCTTTCCAGTACCGTCCCGAAGACAAAGCCCAGTCAAAACAATGGCCACCAAGGGGCAGAAGAGGGGCAGTCACAGTGAAAGCAGACCTTACAGAGCAACGGTTTTTCAGGATGCCCAAGGCACTTTGCTTATTGACTTTCTGGAGGGCCAGAAAGTTCTATGGTTATTAAGAGAGTGTTCTGAGGGACCAGCAGTTAGTGTAATGGCTATGTCACTGGACTCCCACGTAGTCGACTGCAGTTCGCATCCTGGACCCAGTGGCTTAAAACTCACACCGGGCGCGTGTGCGTGTGTGCCCAAGATCCAAAGAGGAGAATGGAGGAGAAGGGATTGCGGCGTGGCCATCCCCCCCGGGGGGTGATTTCTTGCTTTCTGTCTCTCTGTCTCTCTCTGTCAGGAGAGAAGATGTGCCCTATAGCAAAAACCTCTCCAAAAAAAAAAAAAAAAGAGAGAGTGTTCTGAGAAACTGGTTGAAGCTCTAGCAGAAAAACATCTAAGAAAGCCTCACCAGAGAAACCACTGCAAGAATGCTCTTGGTCATCCTCATCAAACTAGGTCAGTTCTGTGAGAGTTTGGATGGGAACTCAGCAGACAGCCACCTTACAGTCCTGACGTGGCTCCCTTTATTTTTTTTTAGAGGTCTTTTTTGCTATAGGGTGTGTGCGCTCAACAGACAGACGGAGAGAGATGGAGAGACAGAAAGCAAGAAATCACCCCCAGGGGGGATGGCCACGCCGCAATCCCTTCTCCTCCATTCTCCTCTCGGCATCTTGGGGCACGCACGCACACGCGCCCAGCATGAGTTTAAGCCACCGGGTCCGGGACATGAACCTTGGTCAGATACATGGGAGTCCAGCGACATAGCCATTACGCTAACTGCTGGTCCCCTGAATTGGCTCCTTCTAACTTCTGTTTCCCGATCTTAACAAAAATCTGTAAAAAGCACTTATTTTCTTCACTTAATCATGTGATAAAAGAATGCACTGACACGCTTACACTCCCAGGGCCCTCAGTTCTTCGGGGATGAACCAAAGGGCTAGTATCATCACTTTAAAAAGTGTCTTGAACTTCATGGAACTAAGATTGAGGAATAGTTTATATTTTTTTATCTTTTAAGTCTATTTTTCTATGAATTTTCTGAAGTTCATGTGTGCATGTTGTATAAGCATGTGTGAGTATACACATACACAGGAACACAAAAATTCCGATTCATAATATCCAAAGAGCTTTCACCAGCTGTAAAATACGCAGCCAGCACCCGCCTGCACTGTGCAGGCCCCTCTTCGGACTCAACTCCTGGGCCCAGCTCCTGTCCTCTCTGCCTTCAGCCCTTCCTCCTGCTCTCTAAACGTAAGCGCCTGAGGCCTGGTTCTACACACGCCTTTTAATAGTTCTAACTCACAGTCCAGCCCCTGGCCGCCAAGGAAATGTCTAATTTGTCCTATAGCCTAGAAATTCTGGTTTCCCTCCATTTCCTCTCTTTGACCTATTCTAGAGATAAGGCTTATAAATTGTTCTGGTCTATTGTGTAAAAAGTCACAAATGAACAGTTTTTTCTCTCTGTCTGTAGCCATTCAGCCGTAACAGTGTCCAGTCACCTGCTCTCCAATCACTGCCTATACTCCTACTCTCTTTATTTTTTCCTCCAAGGTTTTTGTCATGGGGTATGTGCACTTGCTGGAGAGAGACACAGAGATAGGGAAAGTGAGACATAATCCCCCAGGAGATGGTCATGCCATAATCCCTTCTCCTCCATTCTCCTCCTGAGATTTTGGGCATGCATGCAAACATGCCCTGCGTGATTTTTAAGCTGCCAGGTCTGGGACTCTGACCCAGCCCTAACCATCAGGCCACCCACTGGCCCTATCTGCCTATGCTTATTAGCTCCCTCAAAAGTACACTTAAATTGGCCAGTTGGGGGGACAGTCCAGAGCATACTGGATTGCAGTACTGAAAGTCACATGGTCAACTGTGGGCTTAGATTCCCAAGTTGGACTAAAGACAAACTGGGCATACATGCGGGTACCCAAACTCCTGAGCAGCTGGAGGGCTGTGTAAAGGGGATGGTAGATAATGAGACGCTGTCCAAGGTGCTTGCTCACTCTTGTTCTCCCACGTGTGGACATGTGCTACGTAAGGGAAAAGGAAAAGGGACAAAAAAGTGCAGTACACTTAACAAATTAGGACAACTCTATCACTAGAAATGAGAACTATAATCCCAAAAGTTGTGGGATCATTCAGTCCTCATTGATTCAAGCTAAATATTACCAGGACAATACATAAGGATGGAAATTCACCAACAGGAACTGCAGTTTAAGTACTCTATAGAGACTGTTTTGTTCTCTTCATTTGGACCATTGTTTTAACTTAGTGTAGGTTTAAAGTAAAATTCCAATTTACTCAACTTACAAATGCTACCCAAGCATCTTAGGTTCCAGGCATCAAGGTGACATGCTGTAGGCATGCTGAAACAATGACCAAAGCCATTAATACTACGATTCACGGTCTCCACCTACAAGAAGCTCAGGTCCAGGAAGGAAGACACCTAAACCATGACAATACGGGTAACTGTGTAGCATAAACTGTGTGAAGACAACATCCAACCTGGAAGTGGGGATGAGGGTTTGAAGAGCTTCTCATGGATGATATTTGAGTTAAGTCTTAGAAATTTGAGTTAAGTCTTAGGAATTTGCTAGTCAGTGAAAGCAAAAGAAAAGGCTTGAAGAGCTAAAAGAAAGCCCATTCAAAGAACAAAAACCATGAAGACAACACAGTCTAGCAAATTCCATTAACTTAATGTGGTTGAGTAATACATAACATAGGGAACAGTGGTGGGGGTAAGGAGGTGGGTAGCAGAGTGGATCAATTATAGAAGAGTCAAGGACCAGAAAGTATAGAAGGATCTTATGTCAAGTTAGTTTAGATGGGTATGGCAGAAATTACGACCTAGGCTCCAACATCTAATCTTCCCTAATTGAAATTAACTCCTTATTTTTAGATACGCACATGGTTACTGAGAATGCAGACTACATTTCTCCATCTCTCTTAGCAGCTTAAGGATTCATGTATCTAAATTCTAGGAAATACGATGTAAGCAGAAATGTAGCATACAGCTTCCAAGACATTCCTTAAAGAGGGGGACACTCTATCTTTTTATGCACTTTGGTTGGCTAAATGCAAAAGTAGTAGTTGGAGCCTGAGCACCACATTAGACCAAAAAACAGAAATCACGCACTAATAAGGAATCTGTATCTTGAAAGATGAGCTGATGAAGCCATTTGACTAGATTAGGTTGCCCATCTCTAGGCTTATTAAAGAAAAACAAAGTTCCAACACGATTAAGTTATTTTATCTATTTTTATACTTTTCTCACAACAGAACTTAAATACCAACTGATCTAAAAGAACCACAGAAAAATATTAGGCAGAAGAGAGACAAGATCATAAATTAACAGAGGATAAGATTAGAAATGGGGAGATCGTTTAGCAAAGTATTTTGGAAATCTAGGTAAAAATTCTCCATGGGGCCAGTACCTTGGCATAGTGGTTAAGTGCTGTGAATAGAAGCCCATGTCCCAAATGGCTGATGACAGTTCAAATTCTGGTCCCAATGGCTTGAAAAGCATGTTGGGTATATGTGCATTTGTGCCCAGATCATGACAGGATGGAGAAACAGAGGAAAAGGGATTGTGGTATGACCACACCACATGGGGGAGGGCGCTTTCTCTCTCTCAATCTCTCTCTCTCTCTGGTGAGGATACAGCCTCTGACAATTGAAAAATCAATTCTCCATGTGAGCCACCAAAATGGCAACATCTGAGAACTCAGAAATCCTAGTCTCATATTCATCACTGACTACCTTACAAGCTTAATAAACAGCTCAGATGAGATCACGTATAGAAACATGTTTTCAATATATACAGAGCTATTATAAAAGTAATACACTGACCTTATGTATAACTAGAAAACATCTTAATTCTGGTCTCTTGCCCAAAATAATATAAAAGTGATTTTAAAAGAAAAAAACCTCTATAGTACAGACAGGAGGAAACTGGCCCGCTTAAAAGTCATATAGATGACAAGAAAAAGAACCTGTCTCTGCATTCACTCATTAGCAACAGCACGAATCTCAAAATAGCTTTTTACTGAACGAAGTCAGACTGAGACTGGGATGACCACCTCCGTGTGCTGTAAGTCACTATTAAGTGTCACGGTAAAATACGGCACTACCTAGCAACAAAGTGATGTTCACGTAAGACAGAGGACAGGCTTCGTATGAATGATTTTCTTAAAGCACTCTAAAGTTGGTCTCTGTTATTACACATACTCACACTAACACAGCAATTACTACAATATCCATTTCCCAAGAGAAGTGCTACGTATCCTCATATCCAGTCTAATGTAGATATGTTAAATTTTTAAAAATAAAATGATTAGTTTTTTATTCAGTTCTTGAGGACAAAGACACTGTAATAAAATTTAAGATATGACTATAATGACTCACTAAACAAGATTATTTTACAACCTACTATAAAACAATTCAACTATCTTAATAAAAATATCCATATAAAGATTTGTATTCTTTGAATACTTACTTTCAACAAAATATCCACAATTCGCTGTTGATATTCCACAGCTTGCTTGTCATTTTTAAAATCTTCAAACGTCTAAGGGAGAAAAAAATTTTTTAAGTGATTACTATTTACAAATTTAGAGGTAAACAAGTTATTAATTTTTTGCTAGTAAAATTCAAGTAGTAAATTTCCAAATAAGATACCATTCTTCTCAGATGTTTTCTTATACACCTTTCACGATAAATGAAGTCATTTGGTGAGTCAAGTAGAAAGCTATCACATTTAATATTGTATGGTATTCCAAGACTTTAAAAAATCAGTAAGAAGTATAAAAATATAGTGCTTATCACACAACCAAAGAGCCATCTGAGAAAACGAGTGAGGCAGTCCATCAGCAAAGGAAAGAGGAAGCACACTTGGCACAAGGTGATTTGGAAGCAAGGGTTTGAGAGCAGAAGGATGAAATCCCGTGTGCTCAGCCATCCTTCAAACCAGGTTATTTTGAAGTAGCTGAAATACTGTTTATCAACTGTCATGACAAATAATTTTCGTAATTTCCATGACGGCTAAGAAAAAATTATTATAGTAAGATTGTCAAAATGTTAAAATCTTTAGCCCACTGACAAGGGCTATATGTCCTCTTCTGAAAGTGCTGCCAAGTATAGCCCTTTTTATTTTGTGTCTCTGCTCAAGTATAGCGAAGTGTCTTTTTAAAATTGTTATTTTCAAACATCAAAGTAAATGACAGCACCAAACTCTGAAAATATATGATAGCATAAGGTCACAGAAATACCTAGTATATTTAAGATGCAAATATGAAGAAATTAAAATTGTAACCACTATCAAAAAAATTAAATAAAAGTATTTATGGGGCCAGCAGATGGCACCATGGTTCCATAGCTGGACTCCCACATAGCTGACTGCAGTTAGAGTCCTGGACCCGGTGGCTTTGAACTCACGCTAGGCGCATGTGCGTGGGTACCCAAAATCTTTAGAGGAGAATGGAGGAGAAGGGATTGTGGCATGGCCATCTCTCTGGCAGGGTGATTTCTTATTTTCTGTCACTCTGTCTCTGTCTCTCCAGCGAGTACATGTGTCCTAAAGCAAAAATCCAAAAAGAAGAAAAGAAAATGGACTCCACATTACCTCAACAGATTATGAAAAAAAAAAAAAAAAGAAAAGATCTCACGGTAATGAAATTTAGAAACGACATCACACGTCTATTCAAACGAGAACACCTGCTGCTCTCCACACGGGCCCTGAATTCCCAACTTGGCACCTTCGTGCAAGCTGTGCTGGCTAGCATGCCCTTCCCTTCCTTCTGTCTGGCACACAGTAGGTACTTAAGAAATGACTGTTGAATTGTCTAGTTAATTATTTACAGAAGAAAATAAAATGTTTTAAACTTTTTTTTCCAATTAGTCTACTTTGCTGTCAGTTAGTTGAGAATGCTGAAATGAGTTACCAAGGAGACTGTAGGAACTCTTAATCTAGAAAGCTCAAAAGGGAGGTATTTTGATGTTTATGTGGGTTAAATATGACCCTGCCTGAAGACATGGAAATACGCTAGGAAGTGTTTCAGTTCCATCTTCTTTTTTTTCCTTTTTAGAATTATTTAATTTTATTATTATTTTTAAATTTTCTATAGGACACACGTGCTCACCAGAGGAAGAGAGAGAAGGTGAGAAAGCAAGTCACCTAATTCGGGACTCGAACCATGATCAGCCATGTTGGGAGTTCACTGCCTTAATTACCACACCACCTACTGGCCCCTAGTTCTATCTTTTGATATAAGAACAACAAACATACAAATAAATGTGTGCGTACGTGTGTGCGCGCGCACACACACACACACACACACACACACACACACCTATCCCAGCCTGAGGAAATGAGATGTCACTTTTTTTTTTTTTTTTTGAGAAGTTTTTGCTATAGGGCACGTGTGCTCTCCAAAACGACAGAGAGACAGAAAGCGAGAAATCACCCCCCGGGGGGATGGCCACGCTGCAATCCCTTCTCCTCCATTCTCCTCTCGGGATCTCGGGCACACATGCACACATGCCCGGCGTGAGTTTAAGCCACCAGGTCAGGGCTCTAACTGAGGTCAACAACATGGGAGTCCAGCGACATAGCCATTACGCTAACTGCTGGTCCCTGTGAAATGTCACTCTTCAGGTACAAGTAAAGGTACTACTATCAGCTAAAACTACCACTTATTCAATTAAAATATAAAACCATAAAGAAGTAACCTACAGATGACAATGCTACAGTGTGGGAGGCTGCACACCAGCGAGTCTGCCGAGGTTTCTCAGAGAGCAAACAATTGCCATGATTGGTTCCCTCCAAAAAAACCTGACCTTCGAAACTTTGCTCTGATTGGCCACTAGAATCCCTCAGATTTGCATATCTGGCACCTCATGATTGGTCCAAAAGCCACCAATCATAACCCACCATTTACAACCCACCAGTATGTATATAACCTCGATGCCTGGCCCACAATAAACAGACGACACAGACAACCAGGAAGAAGACAACGACCAGGAGAGCCTGAAGAGCTGAAACACCGCACAGTCTCCAGACGACCCTAAAGAGCTGTAACACTACATCGTCTCCGGACAAGCCTGAAGAGCTGTGACACTGCGTCATCTCCGTACTGCTCACAATAGACAACGCAACCCTGAAGAGTTATAACACTGCATCGTCTCCATGCTGTACCTTGCTGCTCACAATAAACAGACGACACTGAAGACACTGTATCGTCTCCGTGCTGTAACACTACGCCGCTTGTCCCGGCTCTCACTCCTTCACTCAGGAAACCTGTTCGGCTGTACCCGCCCCGCCCCGCCCCCCGCCCCCGGGTCAGAACACATGGCGCCCGAACAGGGACGGGACACTACAGCAGTAACAAGCAGAAAGAGTAGCCTAACCACTTTCCCTTGTCAGCATGTCGTCCAGTTTTGAGATGGACATTGAGTCTGTTTCTATGAACGTAATTAAGTGGTGACACATTGCGGTGTGAACGCTATGATATGCTTAGTGACATATTTTGGAGGTAGTCAACAGGTGCTACCGAAATGGCACATCACTTTAGAACACTACCGTTCTACACAGATGCTTCTAATCACACGATGCTTGTTAGAGGAGTAACATGCAAAGCTATCCTCATGGAGAATTATAGTTTAAGTTCAAAGCCATCTGCAGGTCTGGGCACAAAAACCTCTCTTCTGTGGTCCCTCAGAAATCATTATGAGGTTTCGTGATAATGACAGCAAGCTAAGTCACAGCCTAGGTGTCAACAAACAAACCATCTCTGCAAACAGCCAAGGAGCTTGGGCTTTGTGGGCCATGTGCAGCTCTGGCATACATTCTTCTTGCTTTTCTTCTTTGTTACAACCCTTAAAAATGTTTGAAAGAAACTTCTTAGCTTGCACAGGCCAGGGGCCAAATGGAATCTGCAGGATGTAGTGAGCAGATCCCTGCCCCAATCTCTCCTCACATCCTATGAGACTTTTGTATAAATAAAAGACCAAAAAGAATCACCTACAACCCATGCTAACGGCAAAAACAGACAGCAAATTCCACAAACATCGACTTACATGTAAGTGGGAAAGTAAGCATTCCACCTTTAACATGCATTACACTCAGAGTCAGGCCGGAGAGGACTGCGGTGAAGAAGGAAGGTGCCTGTGGTCCTGCTGGTAGCCGAATGCCTGCAACCTCAAATAGAATTCATCTCTAAAAGAAAACAGGAGCCCATGTTTTTTGAAAGAGTGAAATCAAGTCTGAGGGCTGGTGGGTCAGAGCACTACCAGGAAAATAAGGGACCTGGCAATACGGATTGGAAGTCTTGGTAAGATATGTTTGGTGTTTTGTTTGTTTGCTTGCTTGTTTGTTTTTGAGGATGGAGTACTTTGGAATGTGGAGATATTCCTTAGAGACTTGAAAGAAAAGAAGGCCAGTAGAAAGGGGTTGAGATGCTGAACTCCCACATGGCCCACCGCAGTTCAAATCCTGGAGCTGGGAGCTTGAAACTCCTGTAGAGTGCATGTGTGTGCATGCCTAAAATCCCAGGAGGAGAATGGAGGAGAGGGGACTGCTGTGTGGCCTTTCCCCGCTGGGGAGTGACTTCTCACTTTCTTTCTATCTCTTTGGTGGCGATTTTGCCCTACTGCAAAAATCCCTCTCTCTAAAAAAAAGAAAATAGCAGCTCTAATATGATACTGTCAAGACAAAGTAATGCCCTCAGGAATGGGACGAGTGCCCTATAAAAGAGGTCCCAGAGAGGTTCCTTGCCCTTCCCTACCATGCAAAGGCAAGGCAAGAGGCGCTGATCTCTGAACTGGGAAGTGGGCCCTCGACAGGCCACCAGCTTCCTCATCTTGGACTTCTCAACCTTCAGGACGGTGACAAATACACTTGTGTGTATAAGCCACCCAGTCTACCATGTTTTGTTAACAGCAATCCAGATGGACTAAGACACAAGAGTTAGAGCAATCTTTTAAAGTCCCAAGTCGTGACGTTCCTCCTCCTAGAAGTTGTGACAGCTGCCTGTTCAGAGTGTAAAGTCCAACGTTCTGGCAGACTGTGAGACCCGGTGTCTGCCTCGCACTCTGGACCTGTTTCTGTACTCTTCCTGACACCCAAGGTGCAGCCACACTGTTATTAAAAATGACCTGGACATGCATTACTCTCATGTCTAAGTCTTGCACATGTTCCGTCCTGCCTGCGATGTTTCCCCTGCTCATCACCTGACTAGCTTCTGCTCATCTGAGAGTCAGCATGAACATCCTTTCCTCCGAGAACCCCCTTAGCCCTCCACTAGGTGTCCCTCCTACGTGTCCCTGCACCTCCTCGAAGACACATATCACACTATTACTTATCAACAAGTCTGGATCCTCTTCCAAGGGCGGGACTCTCACCTGCTAGCCAGGGTCACACCTCCCGGTTAGCACAGCTCGCGGTACCAGGCACTCCAGTATGTAAAGTAAATGACTGTTTTGTGGTCTTACTACAAACCCCAATATCGTAATTCAGACATCAGCATGACTCCAAATGTGCTTCAGCACTACCACGGCCATTTAAATAAAGATGATCAGGAGGTGGTGTGGTGATTAAGGGCACTAGACTGCCACATGGCTGACCACGGTTCGAGTCCCAGATCTAGTGGCTCGCTTTCTCACTTTCCCTCCCTTTCCTCCCTCTCTCTCTCTCTCTCACGCCCTCACTCTGTCCCTCCCTGTTCAAATTAAAATAAGTAAATAAAGTTAAACAATTCTTTTTTTTTTTTTAAAGGTTTTTGCTATAGGGCGCAGATGCTCACCAGAAAGCCAGAGAGAGACAAAGAGAGAGAAAGTGAGAAATCATCCCCCAGTGGGGGATGGCCATGCCGTAATCCCTTCTCCTCCATTCTCCTCTCGGGATCTTGGGCACGCACGCACACGCCCAGTGTGAGTTTAAGCCACCAGGTCCAGGACTCGAACTGCAGTCAACTACATGGGAGTCCAGCAATATAGCCATTACGCCAACTGTTGGTTCCTAAATAAAATAATTCTTTAGAAAATAATTAAACGAAATGCTTTGCCTTTTCTAGCACCCTTTCCAACCTGCCCCATCACTTCCTGTTCCTTTTCCGACGGGCCGGCCAGAGTGCCCTTCTGCTCTCCCTGGGCGTCGATGGGCTCTGAACCGACTGGTGTGCAGCTTCCGGTTCTTTCCCTTTATCCTGTGCAACTGAGTTACTACTTCTGATGGCAGATTTTCATATTTTCAGACTATGATGTCATAACCTTCTACTGAGTACTTATCTCTTTAAATGATTTAATAGTTTACCGTATTATTCAAACCTAGAAAGTGGCACACACTGACTAGAGAAATTTGCTCCATCTCACTAAGTTAAGAGTCACTATATTAAGGTAAATTTTCCCATGCTGGGTAAAGTCTCTTTACAATCTTAATTATGTATAGTGATTTAATGTATAAATAATAATGAAAAAAAATTTAAAAAATTTTTAAGAAGGTCTATTTCCCATCTTTTTTTCCCTCCAAATATTGTGTATACAGGTGTTTTTTCACATACTTATGAGCCTGCTGCTTTCACTAAACACTGTAAGTATATTCCATGTTATAAAAGAGCTTCTTATTTTGGCCAGAGGGCATGTGCCCTTGGAAGAGAAAGAGAGGAGTATGAACATGTGTGCACCTGGGAACATGTGTGCACCTGGGAACATGTGTGCACCTGGGAACATGTGTGCAGCTCCCAGTGGGGCACGGCTATCCCACATCCCTTTTTCTCCATTCCGTCAGGATATGGGTGGTGTGTACAGTGCACCTGGCATGGCTTTTAAGCTTCCGCGGCCAGGATTCAAACTGTAGTCAGCCCTGCACAGGCTTCTATCGCTGTGCTAAAGGCCCTGCCTTTAGTGAACAGCTTTTAAAAGTAACAACGACAATACTACTGGATTGCTGTAAGAGTCATAACGCATTTTTTTTCTATGCAAAAATGCATCATGACTTTTCCAACACCCCAGTATTTCAACTGGGAAAATACACCATGTTTTCCAGAATTAGTCCCATTTTCACAGACCTGGCTCACCAAAATTCATCTCCATTAACTACACAAAAGGGCATTTTCTTAGGAGGGAGCTTCTCCATTCCATTTCTATCCCAGTTATTGCCGTTACCACGACCACGGCATCTCCCAGGGTCCCGCTGCGTATTCAGCATGCCAGGTAATATAGTTTATGAAATCAGAGATACGCCATGCCTAACGGGGCTCTGCTGATTTTGTGTGTGAGAAATTTTTGCATAGGGCACATGCACTCACTAGAGAGGCAGAAGTGAGAAACCATGCCCCAGGGGAGAGGGCCACGCCAGAATTCCTTCTCCTCCATTCTCTCTCAGGATTCTGGGCATGCGCACACACACGTACTGCATTAGTGATAAGCTGCCAGGTCCAGGACTTGAATAGCAGTCGACTACGTGGGAGTCCAGAGATGTAACCAATATGTCATCTGCTGGTCCCATCTGTTGGCTTTCTTTTTTTTTTTTTTTTAATTTAAATTTATTTATTTGCATTCATTCACTGTACATCATTACAGCATACAAAATGAGATTTTCCATCCAGAGTACACTGTATATTGTCTCAATCAAGCACATCAACAAACATGTTATTGTCAACAAATCATTTTCCATTTATTGTTTTTTAATTAATCTAAATATTTTCATAGCAAACACAGCTGATATATACATTTCCATGAACACAAGTCCAACTTTAGGCATCCTATAAAGTAGCACGTAGCTGGGGCTACATATCTTACTGCAGTCATTGAATAGATTTTTTTTCCTGAAACTCTTTTATTTTTTTGTAAATTAATTTACATTCTTCCCCTAAGCATCATCACAGCATATGAAATGTGATTTCCCATCCAGTATATACTGCATAGTGACTTAATTATTATCTCCCCTCCTCGAGCGACTCTTTTTCATCCTAACAGGCAATCTGATTCAAACTCTTCACTTTGCGAAAGAGGAAACTGAGGCCGAGAGATGCGAATGATGTGCCCAAAGGCCCTAGCTGCCGAGGGACAGAGCTGGGCTAGATCCAGGTGTCCTGGGCTCCGACCCAGGCCTGACTTTCTCTTGCAGCACTCATGATTATTTCTCGTGTTTCTTCCCATGGACGCCCACCAGGCTGAGCCCAGAGCAGCCAGGCACCTCCTTCTACTAGGTGCTGCAGAGGATGTGAACGAAGTACAGGTCTTTCTGGATTTGCTGGGGGAAACTCATTTTCACCATCAGCAATTAGAAAAACTTGCAAATTGCTACTGAAAATGTGCTCACCCGCTCTGAACTGGTAACTGACATCCTTCCTACAGGGCTGTCAATCAAAACCCATACAGAAGAGCGACATGAACTTCACACCTTTTCTCACAGTTGACAGGTGACAGGAAGATGCTGAACTTAGAAGTCATTTTCATGACCTAATTTATAGCAGTTTTGACTGAGAAAAGTGCTCTCCTAATCAATAAAATGAAGAGAAGTACAGGCTCCTTTGAAATCTCAAGAGTGGAGTTTTTCTTGATTCATTTGATTCTTTTCAGGGAATTTTAAAACTTGGCAGTATGTGTCTGCATGAAGCAACTTGGAGTATTGGTCTCTGGAGCCAGGCAGAATTCAACTGGGGCTCACCTTTGGCCAAGTCTAATGGGCCTGGAAAAGTCACTTGACTTCTTTGAGTCTCAGTCTTGTCATCCGCAAAATGAGTGCAAGAATGCCATTTATTTTGTACGGTTTGCTGGGAGGATTCCGCAATGGTGCTCAGCTAGTGTGGGGCCCATCAGAAGTCCTCAAGAGTGTAGCTATTATACTGAGCCATGAAGGGGACACTGGTATTCACTTGGCAGGGCGGATGAGAGGATTAAATGAGGTAATGTACGTAGAACACCTGGTATATAATATTTGCTTAATAATAATAATACAAATAATAGTGATAATCATAAAGGCTGACACGCATCAAGTTCTGCTAAGTTATGTATTAGAACCTTATAGACAGCAGGGTGGCTGCTCTCATTACTCACATTCCAACGTATTGGCTGGTCCCATGGTGCAGCAATTAATGGAGCCAGTGACACAACTGGCCATGATTTGAACTGTGGCCCCAGAGGCAAAAACAAAACAAAACAAAAGAAACCAACGAAAAATAAATTCCTTATCAGACATTTCCATGATTTTCACCGAACTGCTTGTGGATGAAGAACAGTTACTCTTTTCCCTTGGAGGAGAGATATTTTCTTGCTTTCCCATATTTCTTGTGACCCGGCAGTGATTTCTTGTCATCTGATGGATGGTGTGTTTCTTTCAAATTCTTGAAGTTCAGTCTGAATTTTCAGGAGCAAGCAGACAAAGGTGATCTAGAATCTCTTTGCCGTTCTGTTGTGATCGCTGGTGCAGCAGATTCAATAGATATTGAGGAATATTTTAAACCTAATAGTATTTGGATGTTTAGCTACAGTGCCCTTAGATCCGTCAATTTCACAGTAGCCATGAAGAATCTTCTGATAGCCTGGCCTCTCCTGACACACTAGTTTTTTTGCTGGAGGCTGAATTATCAGTAGAAAATCTTCATTTCTCATGTGCCCTGAAATACCTAGTTTGCAGTAGCCATGAGGAATCTTCTGAATGCCTGACCTCTCCTGCCTAGTTTGTAGTAGCCATGAGGAATCTTCTGAAAACCTGGCCTCTCCTGCCATGCTAGCTTGTTTGCTGGAGGCTGAATTATCAGTAGGAAATCTTGATTTCTCGTGTGCCCTGAAATACCTAGTTCGCAGTAGCCATGAGGAATCTCCCCATCTGTTGGCTTTCTAATGAGTGTGGTTTAGGGCGAGGGGAGGGAGGGAGAGAAGGGAAGAGAGAGAAAAGACGAGATAGAAAATATAGTGCCACAACAAAATTAAGCATTTGAAACCTGAATTTACTGCTAGGGTATAAAAGCTGTACCCACATAAGGAATATTATTTTAACTTCTATTAAAAAATAATTATTATCCTGCCTCCTTTGAAAACACCTTAAAATCATACTATCTCTTACCAGTGCCAACACATTTAGAAATTCTCTTGTGTCAAAATGCAGCAGAGTCCGAACATGGGGGTAGATTTCTTCCTCAGGAGAGGCCTCTGCTGAGTGCAGGCGGGTTAAAAATTCAAAAACCTACAAGTTTAGGGGAAGAAAAAGCTGATTATTTTCTCATTTCACAAAGTATCTTGATGAAGCAATAATCTCCATCTGGATAAAATGAAGGCATGCCGAAGTCGACTTAAACTGCCACTACGCTGTATCCTCGCTCAGCTGTAATGGGCTCCCTCCTCTAACAGGAGCCCACTCCTGACCCGTCTGTGATCCTTAACTGCAATTTCTTGGCAGTGCATTTTAACAAGAAGCATATACTGTAAAAAGGCTACAAAAATAGTACTGACCTGGTTTTTAACCAAGGGAACAAGATCTTCAGGGATGTCACCCAGAGGATAGGCACGACCCGCCAGACAACAGCTGGAATGAAAGAGCGAGAACGGATTGGAGACAGGAAAAGGAATGCTCTCCTAGAGAGGAGCCCGCGGTTTCTCACATGTGGGCGACTACGGCAGCTCCACCTGAGCTCTGCAGGCTCAGCTTCCGTGAGTTAGGTGCAGCTCAAAACCAGTTCAGATGCGTCCTGTTCAGAAAATGTGGGGAACAGAGACAGCAGGGAGGAGCACATCCCGACTGAGAAGGGCTTCCCCATCTTCCTTTGTCCTTATGTCGCCTAAGGAAAACCCAAGCTGCACTACAGGGGTAAGAAGAGGGCCTATGTGTGCCGTGGAGGTTACAGTGGCTGGATCCCACTGGGTTAACACGTTGAGACCCGGATCCAGCAGCTTGAAAACCATGCCAAGTACCTACGTGCATGTGCCCAAAAGCCCAAGGGGAAAATGGAGGAGAAGGGGCTGTGGGATGGCCAATGCCCCTGCAGTGGGGGGGGGGATTCCTCACCTCCTCTGTCTCTCCCGTAGTGTACATGCCCTACGGCAAAAATCTAAATAAAAAGTGATAATAATAAAGGGGGAGGGCAAGAAGAAATGAGACTAAGGGCCTCATACCCAGCATCTGTAAAGAACCTGGTAGCACCCTGAAAGTACGATTTCCCTGTGAAAAGCCTGACGTTCTCGAAAACTTCCAAATAAGTAGCTCTAAGAATGGCGACTAAAGACAAGGACGGAGACCAGGCACTGCGGCACAGGACTACCCGAGCGTTCTGCACGGCAGTTCAGATCCTGGAGCAGCCTGAGAACACACAGGGCACAGGGCACCAGGACCCCGAGGAGCTGAAGGGCCAGGAAAGGGGCCTGGGGTACGACCAGACCCTGCTGGGGTGCTTGCTTCTTGCTCTCATGGACACACACGCTATCATAAGTAATAAATAAAAAGACGAGGACTACGCTAGGCTGACAAAGGTCTGCAAAACGTCTACAATAGGACAAGCCTTCAGGGAGAATTAGGGTCTGAAGAAAAATTTACTCCAGTTATATCTTTAATTCAGACCTTCTTTATAGCTTAGCTAATGCCTTGACTGGTAGGCTGAGTTGTTATGAATGTAAACAGTATTGTTCAAAAACTTCTGAACAACAACTCTTCTGATATTTCTTCCTTTTTTTGTGGAGGGAGTCAGGACAAGTTTTAAACCTTTTTGAACTAGTTACCAATTTTCAGTGTTAGAGACCAACAGATCCCAGTATATCCTAGAGAGTTTACAGCAGACGACAAAGCACTAGGAGAGAACTACGTCGGTCCTTCGGTACTGCAGAGAGTGTGGGAAGGTCTCCAAGTTACCTGATACAGGACAGGAGCTAAGAGGATGGTCTGGCAGGTTCTGCCACCTTCCAGTTGTCTGTCTACAGTTCTGAGCCATACACTCCATCAGAATAAGCTCCATTCCTCGAGTCGGAAGATGGTTTTACCTCTGTCACGAGCTACATTTTTTTTTTTCCAAAGAGACATTTCTGCTATAGGGCATGTGTACTCGCCAGAGAGACAGAGAGAAATAACCCCCCGGAGTGATGGCTATGCAGCAATCCCTTCTCCTCCATTTTCCTCCGGGGATTTTGGGCATGCACGCACACAGCGTGTGTTTCAAGCTGAGGGGCCCAGGACTCGAACTGCGGTCAGCCATGTGGGAGTCCAGCAACATAACCGTTATGCCATCTGCTGGTCCATCACTTTTTCATGATTTAAATCTCTTGCCCTTAAAATAGGGGAATAAAATAGAGACAACACCATCTCACAAAGCAGTAGCAAGACAGTCGACATCAGTTTCTCAACTTTAGTTGCATTAACATTTTGAGGTGGGTAACTGTTTGTGGTGAGGACTACCCTTGAGCACTATAAGACACTTAGCAACTTCTCTGGTTTCTGCTCCGTAGCCTCCTTTGCTACCCCTAGTTGTGACAAATTAAAATGGCTCTAGACATTTCCAGACATCCTCAGGGATCAGGAAATAAAAATCACCCATGTCTGAGAACCAGTGCTCTATGTAAAAAAAATAAAAGAAAATTTAAAAGCACTATGTAGGCAAGAGATAGTAGTATCTATAAAAATATAAGGAAGAAATATAGAAGGAACATATACACAGATAAATAAAAATCTCTTACCTAATATATACGAGAAGCTTGTTGCCCATAACAACTTGTTCATCTACAATACAAAGAAAAGTATCTTTACAATTCTTCCTCAAAACCTTTTAAGAAATATAATAATAAACCTTTTAAGAAATATAATCTTTATGTTGAATCTTCCAGTTGTCTGTCTACAGTTCTGAGCCATACACTCCATCAGAATAAGCTCCATTCCTCGAGTCGGAAGATGGTTTTACCTCTGTCACGAGCTACATTTTTTTTTTTCCAAAGAGACATTTCTGCTATAGGGCATGTGTACTCGCCAGAGAGACAGAGAGAAATAACCCCCCGGAGTGATGGCTATGCAGCAATCCCTTCTCCTCCATTTTCCTCCGGGGATTTTGGGCATGCACGCACACAGCGTGTGTTTCAAGCTGAGGGGCCCAGGACTCGAACTGCGGTCAGCCATGTGGGAGTCCAGCAACATAACCGTTATGCCATCTGCTGGTCCATCACTTTTTCATGATTTAAATCTCTTGCCCTTAAAATAGGGGAATAAAATAGAGACAACACCATCTCACAAAGCAGTAGCAAGACAGTCGACATCAGTTTCTCAACTTTAGTTGCATTAACATTTTGAGGTGGGTAACTGTTTGTGGTGAGGACTACCCTTGAGCACTATAAGACACTTAGCAACTTCTCTGGTTTCTGCTCCGTAGCCTCCTTTGCTACCCCTAGTTGTGACAAATTAAAATGGCTCTAGACATTTCCAGACATCCTCAGGGATCAGGAAATAAAAATCACCCATGTCTGAGAACCAGTGCTCTATGTAAAAAAAATAAAAGAAAATTTAAAAGCACTATGTAGGCAAGAGATAGTAGTATCTATAAAAATATAAGGAAGAAATATAGAAGGAACATATACACAGATAAATAAAAATCTCTTACCTAATATATACGAGAAGCTTGTTGCCCATAACAACTTGTTCATCTACAATACAAAGAAAAGTATCTTTACAATTCTTCCTCAAAACCTTTTAAGAAATATAATAATAAACCTTTTAAGAAATATAATCTTTATGTTGAATAACGAATAAAATGGCATCTTAGGTGAGGTAAATATATTCCCAAATAACAGAAAGTTTAGATAAGACTACTTTTACTATTGTTTTTGGTATTTCCATTAGAATCTTGGCACGGACACAAAATCAGTATGAGTTAAAGGATACACATAGAAGAAATAGATACGAAGGTAGAGATTGGTGCATTGCTGACTTGACCATTAGCTCAGGACCAGCACTAGCTGGGGAGGGGAAAGCAGGCAATCAGCTGATGAGCTGAAGATCATAACCAATTAATTAGGGAACAGCTATAGTGTCTTCTATTTGTAAGATGGGCTTTTATCATCCCGAGCTCTAGGGATGAGAAAGCCATTGTTACTAAAAGTTTAAAGTAACAGACCTCTCAACTAAATAATCATTATGGCCCTTTCTAGTCTAAGTAATAATAAAAGTGTAAGGTTCTGTCATCTGGTGATACAAGCCTATTTCTTTGACAAAAAGCAATAAGAGAGATAATTAGGCCAAGGTTTGGGCCAAGGAGTTAAGGGCAATACTGGATGGAGGAGGAGCAGCAGTAAGGGAGAAGTGCTCCAGGGTGCTTACGGTGTGCAGGTTGTTCGATTTTGTGGTTGGTAATAACAAAAGCTGGCATTTCTATCTTTGGGATATGAATACTGGACATAATGAAAGCACGTGTACATCTTCTACTTTATCAGTAAACCTTTATAAATACAGTCAACCCTCCACATCCACAGGTTCTACACCTGAAGATTCAACTAACCATGAGGATGTAGCCAGGCCACACCGATTGTTATGAAATGGGGGATGAATTAGCTCCCTCAAGGAGAGATGCCCAACATGTTTATCTATATTCTCCTTTTCAGTTATATCCAATGCTAAGATCACTGATAAGTAATCTGGAGATGGTTTAAGGTATCTGATAGAACCTTATAGGTTATGTGCAAACACCATACCCTTTGTATAAGGAATTTACACGTGGGGATTTGGGTATCCATGGGAGTCCTAGAGCCAATCCTTCACAGACACTGAGAAACATCTGTCCTCTAAATCTTGATATTATTAATGCAGATAAACCTGGATTGCTCAAAACCATATGAGTAATTATATTTTGCTCCAATTCCCAATGTTATTTGATCTAACTCAGTGAGTATGACACAAGGTAGCAATCACCTTACTGGCAATAACAACATTATGTTTATTCACTAATTAGACAAATGCCTTTATTGCTAGAAATCTCAGGTAGAATGTATGTAGCTCATGAACTCCTGATGAGAGTTCAATTTGCTTGTTTAACATTTCCACCTCCATCATCCCCCTACCATAAGTTTCTTAAGAGCAGGAAATCTGTTACTTCCGTATACCCAGAATCTAGTACTATCATGTCTGGTACAGAAGTAGGCGATTAATAAATGCATACCGAATTGAACTGGCTTAGTACTTAATTTTCCACAATTTTTCTTTTCCCAGTATCTTCTTTTAGATATTTTTTCTGTTGTAAAAGTTCATCATTTTCTGTTGTAAAAACTCATCAATGGATTTTTTTTTCAATACTCTACTTTCATTTCTGGTACATATAGATGTGAACGGTAATTTTCAAGTTTGATTCCAAAAGATTAGGTTCAGGGCTGCTATTAGGTAGGAGGAACTTAGACTACACAAACGTGTAGCTGGCAGTACTAGCTTAAATAAGAAAAACCTAATGCTAATTCCTGTTCTATAACTTTGCTTGAAGGACCCAAGTGCTGGGAAGGATGAGTGGCCTAAAGATGACCCCCACAGGGAGCAGGTAGAAATGCTGGCTCTGTTGGAGCAACTACCCAGAACAGGATCAGTTTCAATCCTTCATTTGCATAGAAAGCTTAATGGACCAATGAGACTGGTACTCAAATTAACCAATTAGAACTGCACAAGTTTTGATTTTTGAGCCTTCATTTGCATACCTAACTGAACTGGGATGGGAATTATTCCTCTATAAAAGCCCACTGCCAAACCCAATCAGTGAATGACTGGTTCCCAATCCATATCTAGGTTGGTTTAGTACAAAAAGACCCTTCTAGCTCCTGCCCTTATAGGAATAAATGAATGGCAAAACCTGGAATAATGGAAAAAGTAACTATCTGAAGTTACTAGAGAGCGAGTATCAGCACCTGGTGGGGAGTTGAGACTCACTTGGAGAGACAGGCAGCAATACCTTTCTTTTTCATGCCCTTGCCCTGGGTAAATGAGCTGTGCCTATACACATGGTGGAACTTGGTGGAGGGAGGGTGGCGTGCATGGAAAACCCCGAATCTTTCTAGTCTAGAAGACCAAAGACAAAAATCAGAAGCAAGAATTAAGAGCTCCCTCCCTGAAGGAACTGGATTATGAAGAGAGGCAGAGAGGCTCTGGAACTATTGGATTTCACTCATGTGGAGGACTGGAGACAGGGTGCGTGCAAAGTGAATTATCATCACTTGTGGATTTTCACCTGTGACGAAGCACAGTTTGTGTGGCAAGTTCAGCAGATGGAAAAAGCAGCAACCTGTCTGGCCAAGGCAACCAGAAATGAGAAGTTAGGACATACAGACAGTTAAACAATTAGGTGTATGTTGAAAAGAAAAGGCCAGAAGGAAGAAACTCAAACACTGTCTACTTTCATCACCAACTGACCCCTGAACGATACATGGGAGTCAGAATCAAAGCAGAGCAGGTAAAGACAAATGCTCTGAGAAACTGGAGCTGTGACACAAGGATCAGTTTGTAGATCAAGCCCAGCCAAGAAAGTTACTTGGTGAAACCAAACGGGGAAAAAAACTCTCAGTACAGAAAAATAACAGAATGTAGCATTCGTATTCATGATACAATACAAAATCATCCAACATAAGAAGGACCAAGAAAATGAATATTCTCAAAGGAAAAGAAAAGAGAAACTTAACCAAGTCCAATTATGAGAAGAGCAAAATGTTAAAAAAGACGATTTTGAAACAGAGCAAGAACCCCCTAATGTATTTTCTAGGGTTCCTGAAATATAAAGTCCATTTGCATTGTAATGGCCCAGAGAAAGGAGTAAGTCTTCAGACTTTGGTTATGATAATGACCAACATGGACCATGAGCGAGGGCCATTTGACCTCTAAAATGCTCATTTAAAGGAAAGGTTTTCATTTCAATGTGTAAGATTTTTTTTTTTTTTTTGAGAGCTCACCAGACAGACAGAGAGAGACAGAGAGATAGAAAACGAGAAATCACCCCCCAGGGGGGATGGCCACGCTGTAATCCCTTCTCCTCCATTCTCCTCTTGGGATCTTGGGCATGTACGCATATGCGCCTGGAGTGAGTTTTAAGCCACTGGGTCTGGGACGCGAACCGCAGTCTACTACATGGGAGTCCAGTGACATAGCCATTACACTAACTGTTGGTCCCTGTGTAAGTATAGGCTGGAAACTGCTGGTTGTGAGCTCAGAGACTCCAGGCTGAACGGTTCCAGACACCTGAAGAGGGATTTGGTTAACTAAGGTCTCACCAATCAAGAATGTATATGAGATGATCATGCCCTCTTGAACCAATCACTGAACTGATCATGCGCCTGGGACCTCTGCCCCTAATTTTGCCCTTAAAATCGCATGTGGGGAACGTCTCGGGGAGACCAGGTCTTTTCGGCATGAACTGCCCACTCTCCTTGCTTTGCACTTTGCAATAAAGCTGTACTTTCCTTCACCACACCATGTGCCTATGGCTTGGTTTTATAGCGCTTGGGCGAGTGAACCTGATTTGAGTTCGGTAACAATTTTAAGGCAACTACTGAGGCAGGAAGAAAGCTGGAAAATGGAAGAAGTAGAGGGGCTGGAGCATCTGCCTACGTGGCTAGAGAGAAAAACCCATCAGGACAGAACATTCCCTGCCCAAGGAAATACTGGCAGGAGATTTCCAGCAGCGGC